GGGGAGGGTAGGGTGAGTAGAGGGGGAGTGTAGGGGCGTATAGGGTGAGTATAGGGGGCGTATAGGGGGAGTATAGGGGGAGGAGTATAGGGCGAGTATAGGGCGCGTATAGGGCGAGTATAGGGCGAGGATAGGGGGAGTATAGGGGGAGGAGTATAGGGCGAGTATAGGGGGAGTATAGGGCGAGTATAGGGTGAGTATAGGGCGAGTATAGGGGGGTTGGGGGGGGGCATTGCAGGGTGACCGTGTCTCTATAAATATCTTCTTTGTGGGGAGGACTTCCAGGAAGTAGAAGCTTCATAGAGGGTCCGTAACTTGCCGCTTCATATTCCTCTGCCCTTCCTCCAGTATTGTGTCTCCTGACTCCTGTGGATATTGGGGGGTCTTTCCTCGGACCTCTCAGAGCAATGATCCAATTCTTCATTCTGAGTCGCTGACATCTATCTATACAATCAATGAAAAGTTCTTCCAGGAAGTCAAACATTCCTTCTCCCCCATAGTGCTGGGCATGTGTAATGGGGGTTGTCCCATGTGAGAAGGGGGCAGAACCTGGCAGCAGACTCCGATCCAATCACGGTGGAGTACAGAGGTCTGTGGTCATGGAACCTTCTATACGGGTATTGTGTCATCTGTTACCTGGTCAGAGGTAGATGTCCTCTTCTTGTTCTGTCACAGGTATGGGCCCCATCCACATGAATGAGGTGCGCTGTACGGGCCCCGAGGACTCCCTCTTTGACTGTCAGTACAAGAACATTACACAGGAGGACTGCAAGCACAGCGAGGACGCCTCCGTCAAGTGCAACATTCCATACATGGGCTATGAGAACACGGTCAGTAGCGTCATGCTTCCCTCTAAGATTATCATCCGTCGCAATGTCACTTCTAATCATTTCCTGGATTGTTGAGGCCGAGAAGAGGGAGGACTTTGGAGGTCGCTGTGTGATGGAGGAGGTGGGACATGTGAGGGGTTTATGGAGATATGGAAGGGATGGAAGATTCTTCAGAAGGGTATTGTGTTGTGTGATGGAGGTGGAGGGATATATGGAGTGGTGTGAGGTGGGACATGTGAGGGGTTTATGGAGATATGGAAGGGATGGAAGATTCTTTGGAAGAGTATTGTGTTGTGAAAGAAGGTGGGCCGGTGAGGTGATGGAAGATTTTGAGGGTCAGCCCAGCGCACAAAGTTACCATGATATGGTCCTAATAGTACATATAACATTTCCTGTCCGATTTAGTGACCTTCCTTCGAGATGTGTTGAGAGATAAAGGTTTGAAAAAGCAGCGAGCGCCTCCAATCCCTCCAATCCTTCCAGCACAGAGGTCCTGAGCCCAATCCTTCCAGCACAGAGGTTCTGAGTCCAATCCTTCCAGCACAGAGGTCCTGAGCCCAATCCCTCCAGCACAGAGGTCCTGAGTCCAATCCCTCCAATCCTTCCAGCACAGAGGTCCTGAGCCCAATCCTTCCAATCCTTCCAGCACAGAGGTCCTGAGCCCAATCCTTCCAGCACAGAGGTCCTGAGCCCAATCCCTCCAATCCTTCCAGCACAGAGGTCCTGAGCCCAATCCTTCCAGCACAGAGGTCCTGAGCCCAATCCCTCCAGCACAGAGGTCCTGAGCCCAATCCCTCCAATCCTTCCAGCACAGAGGTCCTGAGTCCAATCCTTCCAGCACAGAGGTCCTGAGTCCAATCCTTCCAGCACAGAGGTCCTGAGTCCAATCCCTCCAGCACAGAGGTCCTGAGTCCAATCCCTCCAGCACAGAGGTCCCTTAGTCAGGTTCTCAGTGCCATGATCTGGACTTAGGATGGAAGGTTGGTTGGTAGGAAGTATTCCTCCCCCACAGGCGATGCTTCAATCCTCTGACTTGCAGAACATTGACAGATTACTAAAGCCATGGGGGGGGAGGGGGGGTAGATAGAGCCCAGGGAGGTCCATGTCCAGAGTCCTCCACAAGACCAATTCCCATCTTCAGCCTGAGAAAACCTTCCACTTGTGATGTGTGAGCCCGAGGTAAGGAAAGATGGAGTCGTATGTGCCGCAGCGTCATTCTTCTCAATGTGGCTCCTTCTCCCTTAACTCTCAGATCCGCCTGCAAGGGGGGAGATCCCAGCATGAGGGGCGGGTGGAGGTTTTATGGGGACCTCGAGGACAAGAACGCTGGGGTCTGCTGTGTGGAGAAGGCTGGGGAAGCAGAGAGGCCAATGTTGCCTGCCAGCAGTTGGGTCTCGGATTCGTCAGCAGTGCACTGCAGGTACGTGGAATGTATGGAGGGTCTTCACGCTGCCTTAGATTATTGGGGACACGTACATAGCACTAAGCAGGGTGCCTGGGGGGGCTATATGTCATGTAGGACTGGAGGAGCCATTTCATCGGGTGGGATCCACAGAGAGGAGCAGAAGGAAGAATATTGGGTCCACCCCTAGGGTATAGAGACAGAAGTTATGGTAAGACCCCCGCTGATACAGACACATCACTCTTCTCAGACCTGCTTGTTGGGGTTACTAACCTCACCGCGTCCTGAGCTCCGTGTACACTGATTCATCATGACGGGGAGCACCTTCTCCTCCTTCCTGTGCAGCCGGAATCCTCCATTACTCATAGGGAAGCAGAAGGTGACGCCATGTTTCATTGCGAGGAATACATATGTTCTTCTTCCTGGTCTCCAGGTCCCTTCATACATGTGAAGCTGCAGAGTACCAACATTAGGGAAGGCCAGGAACACAATGGGCCCGTCTGTTCTCTATCAGCTCACTCATCACAGATCATGACCTGTGGCTTCTCTTCCTGTTCTATCTTCAGAGAAACATCTGATATAGGTTGTCTACTTCTACTACCCATCATCCTAATCTTCTATTATCAGAGACCTTAGGGACACTGATAACCCTACAAACCACCCAATACATCCACCCAATGTCCATGGGGCACCAGCGGCCACCACCCAATACAACCATCCAATGTCCATGGGGTACCAGCGGCCACCACCCAATACAACCATCCAATGTCCATGGGGCACCATCGGCCACCACCCAATGTCCATGGGGCACCAGCGGCCACCACCCAATACAACCATCCAATGTCCATGTGGCACCAGCGGCCACCACCCAATACATCCACCCAATGTCCATGGGGCACCAGCGGCCACCACCCAATACAACCATCCAATGTCCATGTGGCACCAGCGGCCACCACCCAATACA